TGGTGACAGACCAACAAACCATAAACTGCAGCTCGGGGGGCCGGGGGGGCATGAAGACTGCACCTCTCTGCACCGACAGTCCGTCTAATTAAATCCAGAGCCATAACATTTCAACAGGATCTTCTGTCCTTCTCGTTTACATCCGTCCCCTCCCTCGTTTCATTCCTGTCAGAGCTGAAAGGATTACAAGRCCGTCCTCTGTCTCTGTCCCCCCGATCCGTGAAGTGGGGGCGGGGCACAGCAAGTCCCGCTCCACCCGGCGCCTCGTTAACGTCGGGGGCTCTTGGAACTCGATAAATCCAGGACCTGAGAAGCGGCGAGGAGGTGGAGGGGACACGACTTGGAAGTTTGAGTGGAACGAGACAATTAGCCTGGAGGCAGCCTCGCTTCGTTTCTCTTCTCTTTATCTGGAGCTTTTTCCTTAATTCAAAGCAAAAAGAAAGAAAAGAAAGAGGTCGAGCAGTTCTTCAAGGTTAAGTTTGAGAAACCTCTTTTCAAAGTGTTACAGCGGTGCAGTGAAATCTTTCAAACTTGGAGCTAAATACTCGTTGCTTTGCTGTAACATCGTTTGGACAGAGAGGACAGAGTGAGGAAGAGGAGGAGGAGACGAGATGAATAAGGATGAACTGAGAGGAACAGATTAAAAAGTCACCAGTTTCCTGTTTGTTTCACCTAAAACTCTTTAGACTTAAAAACAACGTTTWAGTTTCTAAAGATCCAACTCTTCATAGATGAGACAAATCTGCTGTAAAACTCTTTTATTCTTCTTCTCTTAATGTTCTTGAATATTCAGCTCAGGGTTTGTGTTAAAACTGTTCTAACCTGATGAGACATAAATTATTCATGTTRTTTAGTGAAGTTTATGGAACCAAACACAAAGAATCAAAGAAACTAGAGAAAAATGCATTTCCTGTGAAAATGCTAGTGTGAATGCTTCTTGCTGAAAACTTAAGCTAAAAGCTGCTGAAATTGAGCTGAAAATATTTAATAGTAAAAGTTGTAATGCGAGTGTTCAATTTGGAAAACTGAAGGAAGCAAAAAGAAGCCTAACTTTGTAGAAAAACATTAAAAAGGAGCAAAAACAGTTGAAAGAGCAGTAAACAGCTAAAAGCTAAAATAGCTGAATATCACTGAAAACATCTTTAAAAAGCATAAATTAAATTAGCAGAAAAAAGCACAAAACGTAGAAAAAAGCAGAAGAATTGCAAAAAATAAGCGGCTCTATAGCTAAAATATCAAAACAAAAAAGCTAAAATTAACATGAAAAAAGCTAAACGTAGCAGCCACAAGTTGAAATTAGCACCCAGATTGTGAAAGTGTTGTAGAAAATTGGAAAWTAGCAGAAAAAAGCATAAAASTTCAAAAAGATGACARTTTGTTGCAAAATATCTAAAACTGTCGAAAGTTTCAGTAAAGCAGCTAAAAAATAGCTGGAATTTTTTTAATTAGCATAAAGAAGTATAAGCAGTACAAGTTTACTGAACTTAGCAGAAATAAGTTGTAACAGTTACAAAAACATGTATTTAGCTTAAAAAAGYTAACTTTAGCTAATAACAGCTGAACATTAGCTAAAATTGCAGCAAWTAGCTTAATATRGCAGAAAGCATCTGTAAGAAGCAAAATAAACAAAAAGTAGAAAATAGCGAAAAGAAGCAGAATTTTAGCTGAAATAGCAGAAAAAAGCTACAGTTTGCACAAGAAAGCWTATAAGAGCAGAACCAGAACAAAATGTGAAAGGTTCTGTAAAGATTTAGAAATGTTTTGAAGGATTTTAAGGATGTTGAAAACATTAAAACAATTAAGGATGAAAGGTTACTGGTTTGTAAAGTAAATAATAACTTTGTGCGCCTCCACATAAATCCTGCTTGTGTTGATTTTTGCTCCTTTTTTTCCACAGAAAGAAAAATAATTTTTGACCAAAGGAGGTCTTTTGTTCGTACAAGGATTGTCATGAATACATTTCTGTGCTCCATTTCAATTTTGACTTTCATTTTTTTCCCACTCTGACAAGTGGAGCTCTTAAATAATTCAGTCTTGGCGATGCTCGGGGATTTTATTAACGCCGTGTGATGTTAGTGAATTATTTAAGACGTCTTCTGTCCACGATCGTCGGGTCAACGAGTGTTATTGTTGTGCAGATTAGGATTCCTTTCATTGAGGTCTCTTCCTGCCGGTCAGGTCCTCGTCTGTTAGAGAACCTGACCCCCATAAATCCAGACGATTCAAAACCAGATTTAAGACAAAAACCAGTTTAATGAGCTGGAGTCAGTGTCGAGGCCATCGTCAGAGGAAATGCTGCAGAATGAGAATCCTGGGAAATCTGCAAGAGAAGAGTGAAAAATAGAGGTTTCTGCAAAGGAATAATTGAATCAGTCTTCAGATAGTGACTTGGCACATTGGTGCAGGATACTGTTTTTTTATCTGAAGCTGAGTAAAAACCAGAACCCTTAACTGGTGGAAGATGTCGGGTAAAGATTATCCAGATTCCTCTGGTTTTCCTCTGCTCACAGTTTAATTCTCCAGATTGATTTTTGTGAAGGTAACTAAGACCCACTCRGCCCCTCAGAGGTTTTCTCCCGGGCAGGTGTTTGGTTTCTTTCTGTTGGCAGGAGACAGAGCTGGAAGTTCTGGTGTTTGTCTGGTTCTGACCCTTGTTTGGAGTCTGGATTATAAGAGACGTGGATGAAAACAGACCTGTGGAACCATCTCACCTAAACAGATCTACACAATATTTTAAGTTGGATTTCTTAGTTTCTAATCTGGACAAACTGAAGATAAAAACCAGCTCGAGGTTTTCTCTCATCCACATCCTTACAGATGGATGACTCCTCGTCACCAGAGTTCACAGAAACGAGATAAACACGTCAGAACCTCAGTAATGCTGCAGATTTCAGGAGGAAATGTCTGCACACGCTTCAGTGTGTCGGGGAAATCTCCTCCCTCCCTCCACCACATCCCAGATTCCCTCTCATCTCAGCTGTCGGCTTCATAGGGAATGCCTCRTCTTTTTATTTGGCTCTGCTTCCCTCGCGCACTGCGGGCAGCGTGACGCCTGAGCCGCCTGTGATGACGTCACGGGCTGCGTGCTGGCACCACCGCATGGGGCTCTGGGCTTTCCTGGGGTGGGGGCGTAAGGTCGTGACACGGCTGAAGCCTGCAGAAGCTGGATGAGTCGTGATTCATCAGAGGAGCAGGAAGAGATCTGATGATGAGAGGAAGAGTTTAAAACGTGAATGATGTTTAAACTGAAGCTTTTAAAAGTGGTTACTAAAACTCACCTGGTCTGATCCGTCACCCTGTGAGTCATTTTCACACAGCACTTTTATCACTCRTGAGATCATTTTACTAGAAATAGAAATAAACCCAGCATCATTCTGCAGCTGCATGTTCAGTTTTCTAACAGCGTTGGAGCTAAAATCTCYGTTTTCTTTGGTATTTTTTAATCAACTCAACAAAAGAGTCGCTAACAAATTGTCTGTATTTAACTTACACTTTTAAACTGCCTGTTTCGTGCTTCATCCTTCGAGTTTCGGGATGTTTTATAACATGAATGAGTCCTCTGAGGGTCTCGCTTTATGCAGATGATGTGGTTCTCTTGGCGTCTTCAGACCAAGACCTTCAGGGTGTACTGGGGTGGGAGTCAGCCCCTCTGAGTCTGAGACCGTGGTTCCTGACTGGAAAATGGTGGAATGCCTCTTCGATGGTTGGGAGATGGATGGACAGATTGGGGCTTCGTCCTCAGTAATGAGGGCGTTGCTTCGGTCAGTCGAGGTGAAGAAAGAGCTGAGTCTAAAAACAAAGCTCTGGAGTTAACGGTCCAACCCTCACCTGTGCTGGTGAGGCGTGGATCATAACCGAAACAATAAGATCAGCCGAAATGAACTTCCTCTGTAGGTGACCAGGCTCAGCCTCAGGTAGGGGGAGGAGCTTAAGTAGWGCCGCTGCTCCTCCGCATCGAAAGGAGTCAGTTGAGGTGGTTCATCTGATTAGAACTCCTCCCTTTAGCCATGTTCTGGGCACTGGTAGGAGGCCCCAGTGACGACCCAGGACTCGTTTGGGGGATTATGTCTCCTCTCTGGCCTGGGAACACCTGGCCAGGTTTCTCTCCTGGACCTGTTGCCTCCAGGACCAACTGTGAATAATTAGCAGAATATGGAGATGRTTCCTAACTGGCATAAAAACAACTATCCTTCTGAAAATCATCATGAACTGAAGTGAAACTGAGTGAAAAATCATCCAAAGACCTTGATCAGGACCTCCTACAGGACCACGAGAAGCCCTTGGATCAGGACTTTTGCACAGTGTCGTCCTGTGATCAGCAGAAGGCGTTGTGGTGCCGGCGGGGCTGCTGAGGACTGTTCACTTAGTTCCTGCTGCGACCGCCAACATGTGAAGAGCCTCAGCGTTTGACTCATCGAAGCCCGAATGTTCTGCCGGGCTCAGGTCCAAACCGCCGTGTGAAGTTTGAGCACACAAACGGACCGCAAAGAGTTTAATTCTCCCACGCTGGAGCAGTGTTGTGGTTTTATTAACTTCCTGCTGGAGGCCTGAAATCTCCAACAGATTGGGTGGAGTGTGTTGCTTTAATGAGCACATGCTGGGTTGTGTTCAGCAGCTGTGTGTGTGTGTGTGTGTGTGTGTGTGTGTGTGTGTGTGTGTGTGTGTGTGTGTGTGTGTGTGTGTGTG